GAAGATGTGGGGCATGTTTTGAAGTAAGAGGCTGAGAGTGCTATCTGTCCTATTGCAATGAAGTGATGAGTGGCCCAGCTATGCAGCAAAGTGATAGCTGTGAAGTTCCTGGATGAGGATAGATTTGTTACAGTATATTAAGTGCTGATACCAAGCACCAAAAATACCCTTCTTAAACACAGGAGCATCACTTCTTAGCAAGACTATAACAACCACACACACACACACACACACACACACACACACAAAACCTTTCCATAAATGTTTCCTCTGTAAAAAGGAACAGCAAGTTTGTTAGTGGAGGAACAAATGACTTTTCAGGTCTTTGTCCTGTCATAAAAAGGAATTTCAATGTGGTTTTGAAGGGTCTCTCTATGGGTTTCACGAGGCGTAACGGTAGTTCGGAATAGGAAGCCTAGTCCGAACTACCTAGTCCGTGCCGCGTGTAGTCGCGCGGCACGGAGTCCGCACTAGCGGACATTTAAAAATGGCGGCGCCCGGCAAGATGCAAATGAAGCCCGGGAAATTCAAATCCCGGGCTTCTTTTGCAACTCTGGTTGCCTACATTACCTAGTTCGAACTAGGGTGGTAGTGTAGACATACCCTATCTGAGAATTGCCTTGCCTGACCCATCATACAAAGGAACTCTGAAAATACTGCCATGTAAATAAAAACAAGGCCAAGAAAAGCCTGGCAAAAATTAGGCTGTCTGAAAAAGCGTGAGAGTAGCTTCCTATGTACCGAGGCTGGAAGCTGGCCATCTACGTGGTCTGATGGTACAAACAGCACATAACAAGAATATTTTGAGGGTTTTCTGGTGCTTGATCTTCATTGCTGACGTGACAGCACATGAGTGGTCAGCAGAACTTCCAGCACAGTCTTCCTACACAAGAAAGTTCTAATCCCAACATGGCAACACTAGCCCTACAAATCTCCTTTGTACAATGAATACTACAGTATTTTACAGGCCACCTCATTCCAGCAGGTATTTCTATTGCAATCCTGACCCATCTCAAGAACCCTCCTCTTTAACACACATCTTCCACCCGCCCTGGAAACCTCAAGCCCCACCTCCTCAGTGTGGGTTTTGATCTATTGGGTCAGAACACAGGCCATAAACCAGAATGAGCAGGGTGCTTGCAGCATCTAAAGCATTCTGGGCCAGTCTGTCCCAACCCTTTCTCCCTCTCTGCTTCCCCTGTTTAATTTTCTATCGGGTGGCATTATTATCTTGCTGTAGTTAGTTTGTATTATGTTGTGTCTATTTGAGAGAGGCCTGGGACAGGGTAAAACAGCCAGGACAGGGTTATGGGCTACCTGCCTGTCACATGAGCTAGCAAGGGATTTAAGGGAAAGGTGGTGTGGCTTTCTTCCTTTGAGAAGCCAGGTGAAAGGCATCTGGAGATTACAGGCCTCTCTGTAGTAGAATGGCTTTGTTTGGGGTTACTCCTGAGGTTTTTTTATTTGATGGACTCTGCAGAGAGGCAAGGGCCTGAAAAGGACATAGGGAGGACACTGGTTTTTTTCCTAGGCTGGAGGGAGAGCCACCTGCACATAGAGCCCAACCCCACAGAGCTCAACTCCTACCTGAACTCTCCCAAAGTGTGGAGAGTCTTGGTCCTTTCCATTCTACCGAGACAGGGGCAAACTCCAAAATTCTGGTCCATCTTTAACCAGCCCCAACATCTGTGGGCGTTTGGAGAAAAGAGTTTGGACTGAACTCGGCTCTAGTCTGAATTAGGAATTGTTTTCCTTCACCCTCAGCAGGTTAGCTTACAAATAATGCTCCTTGTAATTATACACAGAGGCTGTGTCTAGACTGGCAAGTTTTTCCACAAAAGCAGCTGCTTTTGCGGAAAAACTTGCCAGCTGTCTACAATGGCTGCTTGAATTTCCACAAGAACACTGACTTCCTACTGTCTGAAATCAGTGCTTCTTGCAGAAATACTATGCTGCTCCCGTTCGGGCAAAAGTTCTTTTGCGCAAAGCTTTTGCGCAAAAGGGCCAATGTAGACAGCTCAGATTTGTTTTGCGCAAAAAAGCCCCGATCGTGAAAATGGCAATCGGGACTTTTTTGCGCAAAAGCGCGTCTAGATTGGCACGGACGATTTTCCACAAAAAGTGCTTTGGCGGAAAAGCGTCCATGCCAATCTAGACGCTCTGTTCCGAAAATGCTTTTAACGGAAAACTTTTCCGTTAAAAGCATTTCCGGAAAATCATGCCAGTCTAGACGTAGCCAATGGATATGGGATTCTTTCTTTAAACTAGGGGCCATAAAAGCAATATAGCAGCTCTGACTCCATTCCCCACTAATATATCCATGTGTTAAGATCTCCCCAGCTAGCTTCTGTCCCTGGAAACCTGGGGTGTTGGGTTTCCATCTCTCAGAGGAGACAGCTTCCACAGTAATACTGACACTGATAATACTAAGGTAAGGGCCCTCATGGGTTTGGTGGTTGAACAATGTGTTGGGCATTAATGAGCTGGAAGGGGATCCTGGAAGCCCCTTGTTTCTGAGGCTGGCCTTTAATTCCTAAAAAAGATAATCCCAGCTGTCATTTAGAATGATAGTCTCTAGCTCTTTGTCCTTATGAAAAGTCTAAAAAAGCGTAACTGAGGTAACCCAGTCACTAAGATTCAATGCATCTAGATGTATCTTGGATGCCTTTGGGGCCCACTTCTGCAAGAGGCAAGTGCAATTCAACATATGCACACACTTTAGGAAATGCATATCGACTATGCTTCAGGGTTATTCCAAAAATCCGCCCTCTCATTTTCCCCATTCTTGTCCCCAAATCCCCACAAACCCTGCAGAGTAACATGTGATAGTTATGGACAGAGATTGGTTACTTCTGTGTAAGGATGTTACACATCCTGCCAGCTCTTGCTACATTTCAAAGGCAGAAGCGCCACCCCACTGTGGCCCTGCCCTCCCCCACAGAGACAGTTCTGGGGGGAACCAGCTCCTGCTCCCCCTTTCTGACAGAGGCAGCAAGGGGCGGGAGGAAACGACTAGTCGAGTTGACTAGTCACTTACATCCCTACAAGAGCTAGTACTGGCAGGGAACCTGGATTCCCATTGCTTCCACCAACAGCCAAGGAAAATCCATTCCACCCCCATCATTAGCCTGGGAAAGACCTGCTCCTCCTACCTTTTGAGGCCTTCAGCAAGAGAGGCCTGCTCACCTCCAGTTCCTAAAAGGCACTCATCCACCAGGGACCAGCCTAGCACCAGAGAGGAAAAACAAACACCCCATAGCTAGAGATTGTGGGATTACTCCTGTCACCTGCAGATGCAGAGATGACCCATTCACCATCTGTGGGATGGATGACCCACACACTATCATTGCTGCCAGAGTAAGGAACAGCTGCTGGGTAGGAGAGACTCCTAGAGGAACCAGAGTCGGGAAGAGGGGAGAGTGAAGCATAGTGAATTATGGGCCGAGGGTTAGGGGGAAAGGGCTGATGCATTTGGGAGGGAAAGCAATGGAAAGAAATTATAAAGCTTTATGGAGTGGAAGGAAGAGCATTTTATACAGGCAATGTTTACTTGTGTCACTGACGCAGAACCTTTCGGAGGGAGCCCCATGTTTTTGAAGCATAAGACCTGCATAGAAAGTGCCCATCCTCCACCACAGCCCCTGGGACATGAGAATAAAGCTGTCACAGACAGCAGGGCCGACAGCCACTGTGGGCCCCAGGGCTGGGTAGGGAGGCTGGCTCCATGCCCCTGGAAGGGGCAGGACCTCAGCGGAAGGGGCAGACTGCTGGAAATCAGCCCTTTGTGCTGCCCAGACTATGGACTGCTCTCCCAGCCCTAAGAGCTGTGCAGAATGGATCTCCAGTCCTCTAGCAGCAATTCAAAGGGGCCCAGAAGCCCAGGGCAATTGTCTCCTTTCCCCCCCTTCCCTGCCCCCATCGGCAGGCCTGGCCACAGAGGAAGCCATTCTGGTTTTGTTCCCTCTCCTGGGAAAAGGGGGGGATTCTGAGGCATTTTCCCGATTACTGTTATTTATAGCTATTGAAAGCTGCATTGTGTTCCTCACTGTAGTGTTTACTTGACACTCACCATTAACCATCAATATTTCTGAAAGTAATTTTGCCTTACTGGGAAGCCCCATATCATGGGTCTCTCACAACTGAAATGTGAGCAGTGTTTCTCTGTCTTTTTTATACCAGGGACCCTCTTTCTGCTTTTCAAAATGGTGCCAAGGAGAAATCTGGGACCGGCACCAGTCCCCAGACCAATCATTGGGAAACTCTGATTTAGAAACACCTTACCTCTGAGTCCTCAGTAACACTCCTCACAGAGCAGCAGGAAGAGCTGAGGTTAGGAGCTAATGTTTATAAGTAGTTAGCGCTGCAGTAATGTGTAAATAATGCACATTCCTAGGGTAAATGTGTGCACTGTTAACCTTATCAAGAGGGAACTGGGAACAGAAAAAGTGGAATAAAAAGAACTTACTATAAAAAGACCATTCAGCTTTAATAAAGTTTCCCCTTTGCAACGCTAATATTGGCAGAATTAGAGCACAAGTCGGAAACAATATGTGGCTTTTGTTTTCCTTCTTCCCTCTTGTTTTGTTTTGTTTTTTCTTGGTGTTGGGGCTGGAGAGGAAAGTCTCTCCGTTGCCAAGACAAACAAATTACGTTTTACAAATTGTAGGCTTAAATGTCACATATTGCTTTATTTTCTTAACACTCTGTGCTAAGGAAATAATGATAGAAGTAGGTGAAGTGATAGCAGACCCTGCTCTCTGGATGGCTACTGGCAAATACGTTCAGCCAGTTGTTTCCCTTTTATGTTTCTGGAAAGTATCCTGGATGTTTCTCCCTGCTGCCAGCAAAAAAGTAAATAAATAAAAAGGACCCTGCTATTAATAACATCCTTTCAACTCTCTCTTCTCAGGACAGCAGCAAGAGATCAAAGCCCCCTGCCCACAAGAAAGGGAAGAAAAGTATTCAGCCGTGTATAGAATGCACCCGCTTACTTACAGTACCTCTTGGCAAGCAGGAGATGAAAAGGAGCTGGAGGAGGGTGAGTCCTATGTGAGTCCAGGGGGCTAGCTCCATGCTGCCCAGGCCAGTGCAACGGAGTGACTGCTCAGGAAGAGGGATAGCCGGCAAGCTGCTTTTACTGGGACCTCACCAAGTCCAGGCTGCGAGGGATCTCGGATTTCAGACCTCTGCTCACTCCCATCATCACCAGAGGGGAACTACCTTCAAGAGCCTCCTCAGGCATACAGAAGTGCGACGTCACCCCAAACCTCTCCACTGCTGCCTTAACCCTTTCTGGGTTCTAGCAGGCAGCCCGCTTAATGGAGGATCTATTTGGGGAGGAATCGATAAAGGAAAATAATGCTCAGCATTTAGACAGCTTTTTTTCATCTTCAAAGTTAGGAAATTATAAAGGAAACAAATCTTTTGTATGTCTGACCAGCTAGAGTAAATGAGCAGAAGGTGACTATGTGGCCAGGAGGAAACACTCAGTGTAAGGTCCTTTTAATTGTGCAGGAGGTTGTGGGCTGGCGGAATGATGCACATTAGTGAAAGGCTGGGTATGCTCTGGGCATGGGGGAAGGCATTCCTACCACCCACACCAGTGGCCAGGAAACTTCACCACGTGGAATGTGCTGCTTGAGAATGCATCTGTCATAATATAACCTGAAGAGGCACTTTGTGTAAGCTTGAAAGTGTGTCTCTCTCACCAACAGATGTTGGTCCAGTAAAAGATATAGGATACGTGCAGCTTGTCTCTCCAACATCTTGAGACAAGCGTGGCTGCACCAACACCACCAGAACACACACTTTTAAGGGGTGATCAAATAATCAAGTTAGTTAAAGATTTGCTCCATTATGTCTATAAAATGCAAAGTGCATAAGAAATGTCTCAGAATACCTGCACCAGGGATGACTGAAAAACTTTTGACAGAACAGTACCCTACATTAGAAATTCAGTTATGTTGAACATTTCGGAGGTGGGCGGGGGGCATCAATTTCAATTTTATTTTCAATGGAAGAAAGACAAAATAATTCATTTTGACTTTATTGTTGCCCCTTTTATTTTGGTTCAACTTGTATAATATATTTTAATATTATATTTTGCATTATAATATGCTGTTTCAACTTTTTGATGGACCAAACTGAAAATCTCAAAATTTCTACTTTTTTGTTCCCATTTAAAACAAAAGCTAATTTAATTTTGGAATTTCCTGCTGTATAGAAATTCACTTTTCTGGCTGGGCTCTACCACACACTCACACCTCCCTCTAAGGTCTCTAGGTAGGTCTGACAACTTCAAGAATCACAGATTAGTAGCCAGAGGCATGAACAAAATGCCTCCATGACACAACTCTCCCAGTTATTTTACTTACTGTCTCAGAATCCTCCCCCTATTGGTGGTTTCTCATCTCCCCTCAGTTTCTGGCAGGAGGAAGAGCAGTTGTAGATTCATGATAAAATCTAAAGGCGTTGACAGCACAATTTTTTATTTCACTGTGCAAAAGTGCATGAAAATATTGTTTTCTTGGTTTCGCTCTTCATCAGTTTGGAACCCTTAGCGCCTGTTGCCCCTTGTTTCACTTTGACCCCAAAATCTCCAAGAGCAGCGTTGTAAAAACACTAAGCTTCACCTGCCCTCACAATAGGTAAGAAAGAAATCAACAAAACTCTAAAAAGGCCCAGGTTCATCTAACCCAGACTCAATTCCTGACTGTCAGCCCTGCCATTCTAGCCAGTAAATTAGTCATCTCCTCTCAGTGTAAGGAAAAGTCAAAAGTCACTCAAAATAGCAGAAGGATCTTGAAAATAATAGAAGCTGAGGGTTATTATCTGCTTTCATAATAAAACAAAACATCTTTAGTGTCTACAGAAACATGAATAGCTTCTTTTATGCCCCTACTATACATGGTACATGATGAAAGAATATCACATAGGCCGTGTTGGAAAAAGGGAAACTGCCAGTTAGCTTACAGCTATCTGAGGTGGGGTTCCACAAGTGTCTGAATAGAAACCTGCTCAGGCTACAGGGCAAGGGAACTGTCATGAGTATAAAAGGATAAGGGATACAGGGAAGTGTCGCTAGATACTGGACAAGGGCCAATAACAAATGGAAGAAATTGAGGGGCGGGGCGGTCACTAGGGTTCCTGTATTTGAGCCAAGTCTTGTGACCCAGGTATGAACTATGGAAGTCCTTGAATACAGCAGACCCGAGATAGTTACTTTTTAAGGACACAGTATATAGAGATTAGCTTTGCAGGAACACCTTGTGTCCTAGCATGAAGGGATATTTCCTGTGTGAGGTGGGCAAATGGATCTGATTCTAGGCTCCATCTTGCAAAGGGCTCTTCTCAGGTACTGAGACCTCTCTGCTTCCACTGAGGCTATGTCTAGACTTCAGGCTTCTTTCGGAAGAAGCTTTTCTGGAAGAGATCTTCCAAAAAGCCTTCTTTCAAAAGAGAGTGTCCACACTGCCAAAGTGCATCGAAAAAGCTATTTGCTTTTTTGAAAGATAGCGTCCACACTGAATGGACGCTAACTCATGTTTAAACTGTGACTACTAGGGACAGAGTGACCACCAGGGCACCTGTGCTTTTTCCTCTTTCCTCTTTTTCTGAAAGAACTCCCTCTTCCCCGTCCACATAAGCCTTTTTCTCAAAGAGCTCTTTTGGCAAAACGCTTCTTCTTCGTAGAAAGAGGATTACCGACACCAGAAAAACCTCTCTGTTCTTTTGTTTTACTTTCAAAAGAATGCGATTGCAGTGTGGACATAATTGAAGATTTTTCAGAAAACGGCCATTTTTAGGAAAAAAAACTCTATAGTGTAGACATACCCTGACATTAGTGGAAGCTGAGGATGGTCAACACGACTCAAAAAGAATATTTAGCACCTTGCAGGATGGATCCTCCTTGTGCTTCTACCACCATAACAGCCTTCCCTATCCCCAGAGAGTGAATGACTCAGCATCTAGAGTTGACGGCAGTCATGGACCCTGGAGACTTCCCAGAACATGGCCCTTTGACACTGGCCATATGTAAAATGAACCCTTGGCCCTGGCAGTGGCTCTTAATTGCCTACATAGTGTTCTTGAATACACTTCTTATATCTCTGCTGGGAGGCAGGGGAAGAACTAGCCAACCACGCCAGACAAATATTTTAGACTGTATGTAACTCTTGATGACAGAAAGCAAATAGCTGAAGGCTCTGAGCCCTGTGTGCTGTGCTGCTGAGGAATCTCACTGTAGCATTTGGCTGCAAACTTTATATCTGCCCTGGTTCTGCATATCCAATGTACAGGTTTGTGGATTGCATTCCATTCTGCAACTGAATTGTAAAACAAAGTGTGCAAGTCTGGTGGTGTGAAAGCTGCCGGCACTGTGTTATGACAGAAATTTGAGTAGCTACCCTTCAGTAATCAATTCATTTTGTTCTGTTTGTGTAGCACCTAGCATCTGATGAGGACACCGAGGTACTATCAATAATGACGAATAAGTGAATAACAAATGATAATGGATAATTAATAAATAATTTTTATTTCCATAGTGCTCTTCATCCAAAATTCTAAAAGTGCTTTACAAACATTGTGTGTCCCAATCTGTGAAGTGGGTAAAGATTATCACTATTTTACTGATGGGTAAACAGAGCAGTGGCGTTAACATTTTCCAAATAAGATAGAGAGTCATGACAGAGCCAGTTCATGAACCTAGGAATCCAGATTCTTTGTCCTATAGTCTAACCACTAGACACTGTGGTTAGATATGACTGTGTTGGATATGGAAGAACTGATCTGCATAAAGTCAAATCAACCCTGAAACTAAGCCCATTTCACAGGCTGAGCCAGAAGAACAAAGCTTCTTTTTTTAATGTTTAGCAAATTTTTCTTTGCTCCTATTTCCTCTGCGATCACTTGTGCTCTGTCAGCTCCTGAGTACTGAAACATCACAAGAGAGCCTGTCATTTTGTTACTTCCATCTGGGTCCTGCAGTCCAAAGCAATTCAGATTTGAATACTTGTCTAAGCCAACGAGGTCAGTCTGAGATTTGCTCATTCCCATTACCATTGATCCCAAATCCTGTCTCTTTCAGCAGAGTTTGGTCCTGATTCTGCAATTCTCACTCAGTCAAAATGCCCCTTAAAAATCACTGGGGGTACGTCTAAACTACATGGCTCTGTCGACGGAGCCATGTAGATTTGTTGTTTTGGCAAAGCCAAATGAAGCCGCGATTTAAATGATCGCGGCTTCATTTAAATTTACATGGCTGCTGCGCTGAGCCGACAAACAGCTAATCAGCTGTTTGTCCGCTCAGCGCACTAGTCTGGACACTCCCCTGCTGACATCAAAGCCCTTTGTCGGCAGCCCCGGTAATCTGAGCGGACAAACAGCTGATCAGCTGTTTGTTGGCTCAGCGCGGCAGCCATGTAAATTTAAATGAAGCCGCGATCATTTAAATCGCGGCTTCATTTGACTTTGCCTATGTGTCTAATCTACATGCCTCTGACGACAGAGGCATGTAGTCTAGACACAGCCTGGGAGTGAAAAAAAATCATTGGAATACTTGCAGCTGAAAACTGAAGTGAGTAAAGTTTCATTATGGCCTCCAATGACAGCATGATCATGCCCACCTTGCCCTGGTCAATGCTGAGGAAACTATTCAAGGGATAACGTAAAAGAAAATGAACTAGTTGAGATGTTGGAGTGGGTTTATATCTCAGAGGGAAAATTACATTCCCATGAAAATCAAACTTGAGGCTTTAAGAGTGGCAAAAGCAGTAGTTTAATGAAAGATTAGCACTAATGTTTTATTCCTCCCCTCAAAATTTTATTGCTGGATGAGGGAACCCTTTCAGCAGAGAGGTTACAAAGTGTGTGCCTTTAAAATAAAACCTTTAAAAGAAATCCCAGACCTTACTGTAACATCACAGGACTGTTTTATAAGTTACTCAGTGTATTAAACGAAGACCATGCTTTGCCCTTTGAGCTTTGAGTTCTACCATGTGTGCCCATAATGCAATATCCAGCATTTATGAACTGCAATAGAATTTTATCATCTTTCCTCCAGAGGCAGCTAAAGGCCAAAACTCTTTTCAGAGCTTTGTCTGGCCTCAACTATACAGGCTATTCCCATCTCTGAGCAGGACCTTCTCCTCGGCAACTGAAATATTCCTCTTCACATTCCAGGAGAGCCCATGGGCTGGAATGGAAGTATCCAAAAGAACAGAAG